CGTCCCTGCAGGCTGTGTTATTCTTCAGGAGGGTTTATTCAGTGAGACAACTCCCCCAGGCCCTGTGTCCTTAGGAGAAAAGCCAGAGCGGGTTTTATCGCTCCCCCTCTGCGGGTGGTTGGGGACCTTGGTGGCCTCTGGGCTGGGGACAGTGAAGGGACAGCTTGGGAAAAGCACATGGCACCGGGATGCTGGGGCTGGGAGGGTGGAGGTGAGGATGTGGGGGGGTCAGTGCAGATTCTGGGGTCACTGAGGGCACTTTGTGCTTTGCTGTGTCCTGGAGGTGCCTGGGCTGGAGGAGCTGGCTCCTCCAGAGGGGATGGAGCATCCCAGGAGTGCAGGACCTGATGGAACAGAGGCAACCAGTGAGGGCACAGTGGTGCTGTGCATAAATCACTGCTCACGAGACCAACCCTGCCCCGAAAGAAAAGACCCCGTCACCACCAAGCAAACACAGCTGCTGCACTGGTGACATCAAAATTGGTCCTCTGATCAGTCATTTTCCACAAGAGATTCTCTTTTTGGTTTTGCTTTAATTTTTCCTTTTTTTTTTTCCCTGTGGGTTTTTGTTTTTTGGGTGTTTTTTTTTTTGTTTTGTTTTTTTTTTTTTGGTGTGCACAAAATGCCACTAATGACAAACTGTGGTGCCCGTGAGTGAGTGACAGCTGAAATAAGAGAAATGACTAATCGTGCCTCCCAAAGCCCTGTCACATGGAGATTAAATGAGCCCTTTTTTCTTCCCCCCTCAATGAGAATCATGGGCATTTGAATAATAATATTATAGTCTCCATTAAGATGACAGTGGGGGAAAAAATCGGCTCAGACCTGTGATTATTCCTTCAATCTAATAATTATTTAAATACCAGATAACTCCTTTCAGCCTAATTGAGGCCTTTCAGCTGCTTGGGTTTATATTGTGTCCCTGAATTTACTCTCGCTTTCACCTTGCGTTACTAATAGCTTCAGATTGCATTTAAGGCTGTGTTTTAAACTGTCTTCCAGGAAAAAAAAAAAAGGCAGAAAAATAAAAATTAATGATCAAATAGTATTTAAGGATCAGAGTTAAAATGGCCCACTCTCCTGTTTCCCTGGTGTTTAACTCCCCAGGTGTTTGGCCATCCCCAAACTCCTCCATACAGGGAATCACAGAATGGATTGGAAGGGACCTTAAAGAGCATCCAGTTCCATTCCCCTGCCATGGGAAGGGACACCTTCCCCTAGCCCAGGTTGCTCCAAGCCCCGTCCAACCTGGCCTTGGACACTTCCAGGGATGGGGCAGCCACAGCTTCTCTGAGCAACCTGTGCCAGGGCCTTTCCATCCCCACAGGGATGAATTTCTTCCTGATATCTGATCTAAACCTTTTGTGCAGAGGGTTCCTCTCGGTGGTTGATGTCTGTGTGGCTGAGCACTGCTCAATCCTGCCCCCACAAGTCACCCTCCAGCCCTGGGGGAGTGGGAGCTGCAGGAGCTGCCCCTGGGGGTTACACGGATCCAGGGATGGCTCATGGTTCCCAGTGCACTCGGGTAGGATGTCAGCTCGTGGCTGTGCTCTGTCATGTTCAGATAATGTTTGAAAGCACAGATTCTTCTTCCTGGATGATCTCTCTTGCCGTTGGCAGTGACTGTTCACGAATACCCTGCAAAACCTTCACTGTAAGGCACAGCATAGAAGTTGGGCTTCAGCTGACAGCTCTGCTGCACAGCAGCTCCATTTGTACTGTGTCTGGATGGAAACATTGCTGGAAAAGATATAAAACTGCCATGGTCAAAGTGAAGAGCTGCCGTTGTCCCATATGTACAGATGCACACGAAATGTGATTATCTAAATGTGTTCATTTCTAGCTGGCACTGTTGTTTTTTTTCCCTTTGCAGTGGAACAACTTTTTAAAAAATTGGAAAATGCTGAGCAGGAAGACTGTGGGTGCTGAGCTTTACAGCAGAGCCTCCCTGTTCTCTGCAGGATCTCTCAGGACTTCCCTTGAACCAGAGGCCTCTGCCTGCAGAGGACCATGTCCCAGCACTTGCCTGAGGCACCGTGGTGGTCCAGGCTTCTTGTGTGTTGTTTTGGAGGTGCTCAGCCACCGACCTTGTGTGCTGGTCTGAGGGTGCTCTGCCACTGGCTTGGACACTCTGTGGCACTCCTGTGTCTGCAGGTTTTGTGCCACCTTTCCTGGACACCTCTGGAACTCTCCCATGGTGCAGATTTCCCTGTGTGTTTACCAGAAGTCACCCTGTTGCTGACTGGCATTTCCCTGCCAGTGCCACACGTGGATTTCTCCCTGTCTTGGGCTGCCCTGCCACGTTATCCAAGAGCAAAGCCGCTCTGAGATCCCTGTGCCCCACAATCAGATTGTCGGTGCCCACCATGGCTCACCAGCATCCCTGGTGTGGGCAGATTCCTCTGAGCAGATCCTTGTGATTTGTTCCATTTCCAAAGATTCAGGATTCAGAGAATAGTTTGGGGGAAGTTCACACAGAAATTTAACGGGAAGAGCCGGGAGGTCCCCCCGGTGCTGCCGTGGCACGTCAGGGAGCAGCTGTTTTCTGCCACAATCATCCAAACAGCACGAAGGATCCGGCAGGGTCCATGTCCTCCCCAGGAGAGAGAAACTGCCTCAGCCCAAGGTGGGAATTAAGAGACTGGCAACGAGGAGCAGCCGGGGAAATGTGTCCCTGAGCAGAATGAGAAAGCCATTACCGCTCTCGTTCTCCTGTCTTGTCAGTGCCACGGAGACGTGCAGCCCAGGGACAGAGCTCCTTTGTCACCTCTCAGGAACACCCGGCTCCGGCTCCTGGCAGTGACAAGCCTAAAGAGCGGCTGTTCGGTGACATGAGCTCATGAGCTCAGTGTGGGCTTTCAGCAGCCCTGAATTATTTTAAACACCCACAGAGCGGGGGTGCCCGCAGGCGAGGGCAGCTGAGCACGGGCTGGGCAAGGGCATGTTGGCACCCAGGGCAGGGCATGGGGGCAGAGCTGCAGGGAGCAGGTTTATCCCCCTGGGTGGGCTGGGGGCTTGGGTGGTTGTGGTGGGAGGTGACAGGACTTCAGTGCAGAGAGGGCAGGTGGAACAGTGGCTTATCTTCAGCCTCTTCCCAGCGCTGGTGTCCCCCTGGGGAATGTCTCTCCCCAGGGTAGGCTGAAATGCTTCTTTTCATTGTCCAGCCTGGAGCACGTAAGGAATGCATAATTTGGGGTAAAGGAGAACCTTGTGGTGGTTTTCTGAGTCCATGCAGTCAGACAGACCTGTGGTCAGCTTGAGCAAGCTGACCTAGTGGAAGGTGTCCCTGCTCATGGCAGGGGGTGGAACAAGGTGAGCTTTAAGGTAATTTCCAACCCAACCCACTGCATGATGACGATGGTGGAGATGAGCAAGGTTGAGGTCAAGCCAGGTATATAAGTTACAGTCAGGTCTGGACATGATAACAAGAATAAGACACGATCCAGTGACCTTCAGGCACATTTGTGGTGACAAGGAGGGTACAGAGAATGTTCTCTAAACCCTTGCATGGTGCCCAGCTCAGAGTGTTGTTCTGGTGGTCCCCGGGCTCCTCTGAGCTGGGTCTCTCCTCTGTGCAGGGTACTGGGCTGTCATTGCTTCCAGCTGCTTTGTGGGAGCCCAAGGTGGGGCTGGAAGTCTGGTGGCTGAGGTGGGAACCAAGCCAAGACCTCCTGTGGGGGGTGGTCCGAGCCGGACCCACCTTAGGTGAGGCACACGTGGAAATGCAGGGATTGGGATCATCTTTGACGTCCGTATTTTTGCAAAGGGGAGTCTGCCCGCTCAGCAGACTGGTGACGAGGTGGAGAGGGGAAGAGGGTTACAAGGGTCTTCTCCAGCAGCTCCTGTGTCTGCCTGGGCGCGTGCTGAGCGGAAGGGCGGGTGGAGAGCTCTGATGTAAACATGCCTCACGCTGCCGGAGTGTCTCCGAGGCGAGCACATGCTTCCTAAGGAAATTCCAGCCTGGTGATTCCTAATTCAGCCTGGCAGCTGCCTGTGCAAGCCCAGAGGATGGGGGTAGGGATCAGCAGGGCTCTAGCGATCCCTCAGGCCCCAATGAAGTCTAAGTCCTTTGGCAGCACCCACGAAAACAAAACAAGAACCAAACCTGACTGGTTTTGTGCCTCATTTCAACATGGATTTTGGGCAGAGGTTTCCAGCTCAAGACTTACCTCGTCTATATGGTTGAAAACACATCAGTTAGAGGAGACTCTGTGCCTGACTGTTCTCCACAGAGCTATCAGGAAAGGGCATATGGATAATTTGATTGGCATTGGGTGTTCTGGACCCAGAGTCCAAGCTGTCTCTTTGTGCAGCTTTTAGGCATCTCCTGCAAGTTTTGTTAGAGCAGGAAATTTGTCTCCCAGACTGGTAGTCTCTCCCCTACACATGGTGCTGCTTGTGGCTGATCTAACCACATGCTCCCACCTCGGTGGCAGCTGCTTTTTGGCACCTTTGTGAGAGCTGGGAGAAGTTTCTGCCTGAAAAGCACCTGCTTGAGGCACTTCTGGCTCTGGGATGGAGGGGGGATGCTGGTGCCTTTGGTGTGTGTGTGCTCAATGAACTTGGCTGCATGAAACTTCTTCCTCAGTTTTCCAAGTTAAATCAGAGAGGGTTTAAAGGTAGAAAACACCTCTTATTTCCTCTGTTGCTTCCAACAACACACCCTGCAGGAGACATCCTTTTAGCCAAGATTGCAGATGGATGGTTGGGTGTGTGAGCTGCGGGCTTTGTCTCGGGCTGAAGCTGATTATCCCCTCCCATGGCTGTTATAAACAGCTAAACCACACAACAAATTAACATGCAGAGGCTGCACCAAGTGGCAAAACGTCAAGCCTGAACTGCTCACCAGTAAGTTGGGAGACCTGCTTAATTCTTGTTGAGCTCAGAGACACCCTCACTTTATCTCAAGGACTGTGTAATTAGAAAGCCTCCTTTGAATTTTATCTGCAGGGCACACTGGATCTAATCCTTTGCTCTGCCTGCTTCTTTTCTTTCCTCAGAACCATGTGAGGGACGTTGCCGGGGCTCAGGACACGCAAGGGGAACACGGAGTTTGCCTTTCCCAGGATGGATCAGAGGAGGAACTGGCCTCGGGCACTGGACTCTGATGGCTGGTCAGTGGCTTTGCTCTGTCTCTTCCTGGCATCGCTCTCCCGAAACGTGTCCAGCAATGCCTTGTTCAGCACTTTCCACTCCGAGAACCGGGACTGGACGTTCAACCACCTGACTGTGCACCAAGGCACTGGCGCAGTCTACGTTGGGGCTATCAACAGGGTTTACAAGCTCTCGGGTAACCTGACCATTTTGGTGGCTCACAAAACCGGTCCCGAGGAGGACAACAAATCCTGCTACCCACCCCTCATCGTCCAGCCGTGCAGCGAGATCCTCACCCTCACCAACAACGTCAACAAGCTGCTCATCATCGACTACTCGGAGAACCGGCTGCTGGCCTGTGGCAGCCTCTACCAGGGGGTCTGCAAGCTGCTGCGCCTCGACGACCTCTTCATCCTGGTGGAGCCCTCCCACAAGAAGGAGCACTACCTCTCCAGCGTCAACAAGACGGGCACCATGTACGGCGTGATCGTGCGCTCGGAGGGCGAGGACGGGAAGCTCTTCATCGGCACGGCCGTGGATGGGAAGCAGGATTATTTCCCCACCCTCTCCAGCCGCAAGCTGCCCCGGGACCCGGAGTCGTCGGCGATGCTGGATTATGAGCTCCACAGCGACTTTGTCTCGTCCCTCATCAAAATCCCCTCAGACACCCTGGCCCTCGTTTCGCACTTTGACATCTTCTACATCTACGGCTTCGCCAGCGGCAACTTTGTGTATTTTCTGACTGTGCAGCCGGAGACCCCCGAGGGTGTCTCCATCAACTCCGCCAGCGACCTCTTTTACACCTCCCGCATCGTCCGGCTCTGCAAGGACGACCCCAAGTTCCACTCCTACGTGTCTCTGCCCTTCGGCTGCGTCAAGGGGGACACGGAGTACCGCCTGCTGCAGGCAGCGTACCTCTCCAAGCCAGGGGACGTGCTGGCCAGGTCCCTCAACATCACTGCCCAGGAGGACGTCCTCTTTGCCATCTTCTCCAAGGGGCAGAAGCAGTACCACCAGCCGCCCGACGACTCCGCGCTCTGCGTCTTCCCCATCCGTGCAGTCAACGCCCAGATCAAGGACCGCCTGCAGTCCTGCTACCAGGGGGAGGGCAACCTGGAGCTCAACTGGCTGCTGGGGAAGGATGTCCAGTGCACTAAAGCGGTAAGGATGCTCTGGATGTTGGCCGTGGTGGCCCTCAAGAGCTGGGATCAACCCCTGGCCCTATGGAATATGAGCTTGCTTGGGGTGGTTCAGCCTGGAGAAGAGTAGGCTCAGGGGAGACATCATCACTCTCTAGAACTACCTGACAGGAGGGGGGAGCCAGGTGGGGGTTGGTCTCTTTTCCCAGGCAACTATCAGTAAGACAAGAGGGCTCCGTCTTAAGCTGTGCCAGGGGAGGTTTAGATTGAATATCAGGAAGAATTTCTTTCCAGAGAGGGTGATCAGCCGTTGGAATGGGCTGCCCAGGGAAGTGGTGGATTTTCCGTCCCTGGAGGTTTTTAAGCTGAGACTGGATGTGGCATCAGTGCCATGGGCTGGGAACCACGGCGGGGTTGGATTGAGGGCTGGACTTGATGATCTTGGAAGTCTTTTCCAACCTGCCTGATTCCATGATTCTATGAATAGGATAAATTTTTCTGTGCCTCAGTTTCCCCAAATGCAGAACAGCTGTAGTGCTCTTCCCCTTCAGCCCGTGTTCTTATCAGGCAGTTGGAGATGACAGTGAAAGGAAGGGATGGCAAAGGGAAGGGAAGAAGCCACTGGGGAAATTGGCTGAGGCTGGCAGGGAGTGGCACTGCGGGCTCCACTCCACGTGACCCTGAGTGTGTGGGGCTGCCCCATGCTCTGCTTCACTCACAACCACCCCAAAAACCTTGTCTTTCCAGCCAGTCCCCATCGATGACAACTTCTGTGGGCTCGACATCAACCAGCCCCTGGGGGGCTCGACGCCGGTGGACGGGGTGACGCTCTTCACCTCCAGCCGCGACAGGATGACGTCTGTGGCCTCCTACGTCTACAACGGCTACAGCGTGGTGTTCGTGGGCACCAAGAGTGGCAAGCTGAAGAAGGTAAGCTCGTGTCCATGGCTTCAGAGAGACAGGATCTGTTCCTCCTCTCTCTCAGGGGACTCTGATGTGTGTTGCTGTTGCTGTGTCTCGCAGGCGTTTCCCAGCGCGAAGCCGGGAGTCAGTGAGAAGCAGGAATTGCAGGGTTTGGGTCACCAAGAGCCTTGTTGGTGAGGCAGAGTTCATCCCTCAGCCCTGTTAGCACAGAGGGGTGTTGCTGTGTTTTGTGTTGAAGTGCCAAGGTTTGGGAAAGGTGCTGCAGGATGGTCCTGGGAAAGGGATGAAACGAGGCCACGCAGTTCCCGTGGCTCTGTGGCGTTCCAGCTCAAGAGCATGTCCTGGCATGGGCTGAGGGCACCTTCCTGCCCTTCCAGCCAGTGAGTTCCCTCAGCAGCAGCAGGGTAATGGGGGTCTGAGCCCCAGCCAGCTCCTCATGCACTGCCTGCCTGGGTGTGACATGTTGCTTGTCTGGGATTTTTGGGTTTTATCATTCGGTGACCTGTGGTGTGTGTTTGTGGGGCTGATGCTGAAATTACCAGGGCAATAATGGGCCAGTCTGGTTAGGGAAAAGTGAGGAGCTGCCTTGGAATTTCAGTGAACCTCAGCACCTGTATCCAAGGTCTTGGATCATTCCCCCTCTTTGACACACCGATGGAAATCTTGCAGTGGTTTTGAGTTGTTTGCCAGCAATCCTTCTGCAACTTGTGTAGAAGACTGTGAGTTAGAAAGATTTTGGTGATGGCAGAATTGCTGATGGTGGCAGGATGTTTGGCCATGGAGAGATAGGAATGGGTTAACTTGGCTGCTTTTGGAACCAACCCTCAGGGCAAAGTCCTACTGCTTCCCTCTGCCTCTTACCTCCTGCTCTTCCCCCTGACAGTTGGATGATTGATCAGTCCTGGAAGATAACACTCCTTACCCTCTTCATCAAGAGCACTGGTGCTGCTTGCCCAGGGCAAAGAGATGCTTGTACTGGTTCCCTGCCCCAGCAAAGAGGTCTGGGGGGGCTCAGTTGAGAGTCACAGAATGGTTTGAGTTGGGAGGAAACTTTAAGCTCTCCTCATTCCAACCCCCTGCCATGGGCAGGGACACTTTCCGCTAGATCAGGTTTCTCCAAGCCCTGTCCAACTTGACCTTGAATGAATTTTAGGATTTCAAAGTCCAACTGGGATTTCCCTGCTTCTGAGTCATAAAATCATAGGATATTCTGACTTGGAAGGGACCAGGAGTTCCATATTTAAAAGGGGTGTGGAATTGGCTTTGGGGTGTGAGCAGAGGTGTGTGAGACCCTGGTTGGTCTTTAGGGCTGGAATCCAGCTCATCAGTGTGTGCACAAGTCTGATCCAGCTCCAGCAAATCCAGCCTTGGAGATGCTGCTCTGGAAAGCTGAGATCCTTCAAATTAACCTCAGCTATAAATGACAGCATTGGGTGAACCTGCTAAATGCAGACCCTGCTTCTTCATACCAGGGAAAGAGTTAACAAATGTAATCAACAGCAGGCTGTTAATTTTTTGTGTCCTTAAGCAGCAGGGAATTTCTTCCTCATCTATCCAGGAAGATCCAAGGACAGGCAGATACTACACTTGAATGTCTGCATCATTTTAATTACATCAGCTCATTAATATTCATTCAGCACTTTACAAGTGCTGAGTAGTAGTAAATTAGGTGCCTCCCTGGTGCCTCTGGAGTGTCAGTGGGGCAATTCTGAACGTGGGGGAGAGGGGGTTTGTAAGCAGAGCCCCTCACTTCCCTGCTCCCCCTGCCGTGGCACAGGGGAGAGCCAGGATTTTTTTAGCTAAATGGATGGAAGAGGAGCCCTCAGCACATCACAAATGCACATGCCAAGCTCTGAGCCAGCCAGGCAGCCTGATGCTCGCTGTTTGCAGGGTTTTTTTGGGGGGGAGAGGGAAGTTGCCTCATTTAGAGGCAGTAAAAGCAAACAGCCTGTGCCTGCACACGAGGTATTCACAGTCCTGTTCCATGAATTATGTAGGATTACAGAAGAAGCACTGTCTTCAGCAGAGTTTAATTCCTCGTGCTAGTCTACACAGAACACCTTTTTGATGCAGAATTAATCTATTCATGCTTCACTGTCCACTCTTCACCTGGAATCCTTCACCTGGTGGAAGAAAATAGGTCGATCTCTGGAGTAAATTCACTCCAGACATTCCCTGCAGCCAGGCTTTCGTGGCATCTGCCCTTATTTCCCACGTAGCAGAGCTGCCTGCAGCTGAGGGCATCCCTGCCCCCCGTTGTTAACTGGGACAGTCACAGTCCTGTCCTCCCAGCTCTGGGGCTGAGGATGTTGTTTTTCTCTAACTCTGGTTGTCCTGTCTACAATTTTAGTAAATCTCTCCTCGTTTGACATGTGGGATTATCTTTTGCACGGCCCAGGAGGGGCCAGGTGAAGCGTGGGAAGCAGCTTTGCACTGAACTGTGGGGCCCGTGGGGCTCTCGCTGCAGAGGAGGCATTTGCAGACCTGGTGGGAAGTTGACAAGTTGTCTCCAGTTTTTGTGCCTGTTCCAAGACCAGACATGTCTTGATGTCAGCAAGTGCTCAGGATGCTCAGGACTGTTTCCATATCTCTCCTCTCCCATCTGTGAAATGAGGATGGTAAAAATGTACACACCTCTGTAAGTGCCAGAGATCTGTGGATAGACATCTCATCCACCTGATCTCCTTCATATCCTCCCCCACTGCATATCTGCCCACACAATTAATGTCTGAGAGCTACATCACACCTATTCCCTCACCCACAGCTGCTGATTTCCTTTGGAAACAAGCTGGTCCTCAGTCTGGGGTTTCAGAGAAGACACTTTTGTGTAGCTGGAATGAAGTCAGGGGAGCCAGCTCTGAAATCTTTCAAATTTGCCTGTGCTTCCCCAGTGAGAATTCCTTACTGAAAGCGCTGTGTTATCTCACTGATGTCCTTCAGCCATTAGTTATTCACCCAACTGCTCCTGCCACAGTCCCTGGGAGAGCAGCAGCTGCTGCTTCAGCCTCTCTCCTCCAAAGGAGTGCAATGCTGAAGGTCCCTGAGCCCCAGATATCCCTACCTGCACTCTGCTACAGCCCCACGCTGTCCAGCTCGACCTTTTTTCCTGTTTCCTGGGTACGTTTGAAGCCTCTCCCTCCTCCTCCCAGTATCCAGCACTGGCTGGGGTGTGAAGGAAGTTCTCTGTCTGCTGGGAAGTTGTACAGAGCCCTGTGGCAGGGCTGGCAGCTTTCCCAGCCTGAACTCACCTCTTGCTTTGCTGGTTTTGGAGCCCTGCAGGGTCCAGTCGATGTTGGCAGCCCAGGCAGGTCCCGTGGGGTCTGTGGGATCAGCAGGGCTGCATCAGAGGGGGGTATTGGTACCAAAGCTGTGACAAATAAATTGATAATATCAGATAAATCAGTGAACTTGGCATCGTCTCTGCAGGGGAGCAGAGCATTTGCTGGGGTCAGGGTTTGTGTTTGGGTGGAGGGTGTGCTTGTACCTGCTGTGGCTGATCCACACTGGTCAGCTGCTCCTCATGCAACTGGTGGTTCTGGTTTGTGCTTTGCCTGTCCCTGGTTACTGTTGAAGGGAGAAGGATGAATCAGTGGATCTGTTCTCCGTTAAAACTCGGTGCTGGAGGAGTTTTCCTGCTCTGCCACCCCACCTGCCTCTTATTGCAGCCCACCTGTACATGGTGAGGGCTCAGGGGGACTTGTGGGTCTCTCAGTGCACATCCTGTACAAAATGTCTGCACCCCCAGAACACCCCACACGTGCTCCTGCTGTTTTGGGGAACCACTGCTCCCCAGCAGCTTTATCCAAGTGGGGGAAAAGCAAAATGTGCTGATGGTGCTGTGACCTGCTGGGTAAAGCCCAGGGAGGTGGGATGCAGTTCTCCCTAGAGCTCTCCTCTCAGAGCATCTCCTGGCTCTGGGAGGGGATCATGTTAGAGACATTACCATTCAGAATTGAGGATTCCACCAATAAAACAATTTTCATCCAGCAAAATTAAAAGGGACATTAATGCAACGGTTAACAGCAACTAAGTGCTGGGGGCAGATGTGTCAGCTTGCTTGTTCTGTTTATGGGCTTCATACAATTCCATCAATATTGATGTGTGATGCCTTTGATTTTGACACTAATCATTGCTATGAATTAAATTTGCAGCCATATAATTAGGCCTGCTATTAATAGGGCCTCAAGCTAAGCACTGCTGTGCTAGTTGTCTTTTTCCTGATGGAAAATGGTATCCACAGAACTCAGTTAATGTGGTTTGCCTGGTAGATGCTGAGACTGATGTGAAAATTACACTTGCTGTGTTTAGAGGGGCTCCTCTGAAAGGCAGATGCATGGAGAGGGTCCAGCTTGGAGGTTCCCCAAGAACTGTGCAGGAGTTGCCTTCAAACTTCCCAGCAGTTTGCTGCTCTTAAGATCCATAGTGAGAGAGAGAAGGATTGCAGGGAGAAAAGAGTAACCCTCAGTTTGAAGGGCTGCTGTTGCCTTGTTTCCATTTCATCTCATCTCTCCTTCCTCATGCAAATCTTCCCATTTCTTCCTCCTACCCAGTGCTGTCTCAGCCCTCTGTCCCTGTGTGTGCCTGCTTTCATCTCATCAGGCTCTGGGATGGCAGCAAAGCTCACCACTGAAAATCAATCTTGTGTTTCATCCCGAGAGGTCTGTTTCTTATTAGATCTAATAAATCAGTGAAGTGCCCTTCATTCAGCTTGTCGACAGAGGACAATGTTTGTGATCAAGAATAAATAAATGTCTCTTCTGTGTCTGACAACGCCGGCTGGGTGTTGTTTGCTGTTGTTTTGCCATCGTGCTGTTCGTGCTGGCTGTGGGAAATGTGCAGTTCCTGCTGCCCTGCCTACCCTCACATGAGCTGGGGATGCTCCTGGGTGGTACCTGTGAGGGAAGAGCAGGAACAGTGACGCTGTACCCGGTTCTCACCCAGCAGTGAGTTGCTCAGTGGTGATAAAGATTTAATCTGGGAGATGCCGGAGGTGTGAGGCACTGGCT